CCCCCCCCCCCCCCCTCCCCCCCCAGCCACAACAGTGTGAATTCCTCAGGGAGGTGCCAGTCTCATCCTCTTGTTCTTCCCACGCAGTTCTGGCGAGCTAAGAAAACGTTTATCTGCCTGAGCTTGGCCTTCATAATTCCATTCCATCACAGATATACAGATAAAACTGGCTGATGCTTCAATGATTAAAGGAGACATACAAATAATAAACCAGAAGAGTGATATAGATAATTTTCTATACTAGATGTACAAAAGAGACCTCTTAAAATTTTGAAGGATTCTGTGACAAGAGGCAAAGCAAAAATGAAAAGAAATCAAGCTCTAAGAAAGATCTGTTGAAGTTTTTAAGATTTTTCTGAGAAGAGACAAAAAATGAAAAGAAATCAAGCTCTAGGATATTATTTGAGGGGACTAAAAACTAAAATTGTAGGGAATAAGGGGAAGGAGAATAGTTGGTTTGTTATGATCAAGGGTAAAACAGATGTGTTATCTCTGACAGTCATTAATGGATTTTTACTGACTAGGACTGAATGACAGGTTTTAAGGTTCTCTTTTTCGATAAGAGATGAGATATGGGAAGAAGAGTTTATTTTGTATTTTAACTCAATTTGACTAACATTAAAATAGTTATGTGGTTTTTTAATGGTCACCTTTAATGGATTTTGATTGACTATGATTGTGAGGTTTGGGGGATTTTTTTTTATAGATAAAGGATGAGATGTAGAAGGAAAAGAAAGGATTATAAAGTGGGTTCTGGGATTAAGCTTAAAATAGATATGTTGCTATTTCTGGTATCTCTTAATGGACTTTTGCTGATTAAGGTAAAATGACAAAGTTTTTAAGACTTGTTTATAAGGAGATGAGATATGGGATGAAGAGATTCTTTGTTGTTTTTTAAGAGAAGGTGATGAGTTGTTAAAAAAATTATACTTGCTGTGATGAGGGGGGAAGTTACTTTATATTTTTTTTCTTTATATTTTTTCTTTTTTTCCCCCTGCATTTTATATTTTTTCTTAACTTTTTCTAGTTTCTATTAGTTTTTATCTGTATAATTGTAATCTCTAATAATATTATTATTATTTTTTAAAAAGAAAAACAAAGAAAAAGGATTATTTCACAAGGGATAGTGCTCTTGGGGACAGTAGCAGCAAACCTCACAGAATTTTTCTCATTCTCACTCTCTCCTTATAAATACAAATCAAGCAACCAGAGTTGTAAGGAGATAAAGAAGCTAAAAGGGCAGTAATCAATACTCCTGTTTTAAAATCAGAGCAGGCCTTTTTGCAATCTGTCTCAGGCAATAGGGAATGAAAGCAGATGAACAAAAGCAAGATGGAAATGATTTGATAGAAAGATTATGTCCCTAGCAAAGAAAACTGATGAAAAAATACTGCTAGGTACATCACGTGGTTCAGTTCAATGCTTTAAAAAAATAGGTAATACCATTACTATTATCATTACTGTTATCAACCTGTCAAAAGATTTACCCAAAGCAGATCATAGGGTATAAGTTTCCTAAGTTTCTCCTCAAGTGTAACATTTCCAATGCAGGATTGTTACCAAGAGACTAGTTTGTCTATATCTGTCAGGGTCTATATTGTCCCATGTTGGTTATTTTTTGAAGGGAGACAAAAAGAACACAGTATGCTGGCAAAAGTGAAGGGTATGGAACAAAATTAAAATAGCATAGAGCGTAGAAGGAACTGCACTGTTTATTGTCAGGTGGACACTGGACAGTGAGGGTCAAAAAAATGCAGAAGCAACTAAATCGGGAGAAATGTTGAAAAAAGCATGGGAGGTTTAGCATGAGATAATAGTCTAAGAGTTGACCAACATGATGGCCATTTCCTTGGAACACTTAATAGCTCATTGTGACAACATCACTCATGACCAATTGGCCAAACTCAAACAAGGAAAAAAACAATGTGAGGATAGGCTCATTATCTCACAGTAGAGTCGGAATGAGTTTATTGAACTATGCAGTAAAAATGGTGTAGAAGGCCATCCTAGCAGAGAGAGAAGGCCATTTATTATTCTATCATGTGTGATGTTACTCCTGATGTCTCCCATCAAGAACAACATATATTGATATTCCGATTTGTAGTTCACAACAAAGATTCTGGTACATTTAACATTAAAGAAAGCTTTATTGAGTTTATCAGCTTTGATGTAAACACCGGAGAACAGATAGCTGAAATGCAAATTGCCAGCTTGAAAAAATGTAGCATTCCCCTTGATTGCAGAGGGCAAAGTTCTGATAATGCATCTAATATGTCAGGAAAAACAAAAGGTGTTCAGGCCTGCATTATGTTCAAAAATTAACCTGCTGTCTGTTCTTGTGCTTCTGATTCACTACATCTTGTAGGTGTTAATACTACACCAGCCTATATTGAAATGTTCACATATTTTGTTTGCGGGCAGCAACTTTTTTTTTGTTTTTCAAGACTAGCTCCCTGAGGTGGAAGAATAGAACAGAAAAGATATACCACTCATACATACTAGTCTGCATGGGTTAATGTTATCCATTCACCCGCAAAGAATCTTTTGGGTATTCTGCAAGCATTTGTATTCTCAAATTAAACTTGACGCTCAATCACATCTAGAAGTATTGAAAAGATACTTCCGCTCATTTTCATGCCTTTTGTTGGCAAGCTTTTAGTACAAAATTCTTTCAAGTACTCATGACAGAAGCAAGATTTTACAAGCCAGAGAAATCTGTCCTGAATCAGTAGCTCTCATTGCTCATATTTTTGGAGAAGTAAAACAACTTAAGAGAACAGTGGCCCAACATTTTTCAAGTTGCGTGTCTTGTAGCAGAAGGCATGGGAACTTTGCAGCAATTAACTGAAGAAAGCAGGAAGTAGAAAAGAGTACATGTTGATGCTAGTAAGGAATCATGTGTCATCCTGTGATGAATTTTTATTCAGAATGATGGTTTTCAATATAACTTTGGATATTATCTGCAAATTGAAATGCAGGTTCAAAGCCACCAACATGTTTTGCATTCAGTTCAGCTCTAAAATATGTGACATTGGGGTCTGAAGAACCGGAAGAAGCCTCTAAATGGTCTGCTTTTCAAGCATCTGACAGATCTTTCTGAACATTTTTCTTGGAGAATGTTGCAACTGGGGGAAACAAAATCCAATCTACTTGTGGGAAAGAGTAAAACGTGCCCTGCTAATCTTATCAAAAAAGATTTACAAAAAAAGCCAAACAGCCCACAACTGATTTTTAGTGGCAGAGGTCTTTTGCACATGACTGCCAATGAGCAACCTTTATACTGAATTGATCTATGTGTTTACTGCCATGTCGGTCCATTAGAATAACAACAAAAATCCTACCCAGATATTACTATTCTCAGAAGCAACAGTAAAAAAAAAAAAGTTATACAATAAACAATGTATAGTTGAGTAAAACAGAATCCTTTATGCATGAGACTTTATGCATATGGGATGGGGTACAGGCAAGGGTCAGCAATTTATCATGCATCATGTGGCTAATTTCTGAGCTCTGGAACAAAGGCAGCTATGATGCAGCTGATCCAGTTACTTTCAATAATATCTTGCAAAGGAAGATAAATCTTCTGCAAGGCAATTTAATCCCTTCCTCATGAAACAGACCTGTTTGCCACATCCCTCCCCATCATGCTTAGACCCTGGAGGTATGGCAACTATATTTTTTTTCCTTGTAAAGGAAATGCAGAGAAGATAAGGGCTACGTAGTCTTGCCTGCATTTTTTCAGTTCCCAGCTCCTTTTCATTTATAGTAAAAAAAAACAGGAAAAAATGTAACGCATTGCCATATTTAGCTTGCCATCCAAAAGACATGGAGATGTGCAATATGCTATCTTATTGTCAAAGCTGGAAAATAATGCAGGTAGCAACTAAAGACTCCTAAAAAATCTCATATTCCTGTACCATGAAAATTCAACCTGCTAGGAAAATGATGTATTATTAAAGGTGTATTTAAGCTACAAAATGTGAATGAGTTTTTCACATATGCTATTTTATAGAACTCATATTGGATTATGTATATGCTGACAAAATAAAATGCTCTGGTTTCATTATGGAGAAACTAAAATGTGACTCTGTTTCTGAATATCCTAGGGGGAAACAAGTGGGGGGGAACTATACTATTACAATGTTTAGAGGCATCCATGGAAGGGAGTCA